TTGTAAAGATGTGTAGTAAAAATAGGTTTTTGGTCTTCTCATTATGTTTAAGTGATATTTCATTTCAAGTTGCGTGTAAAGGGATTTATGTTCAGTGTTTTGTAGAAAATAAGGGTGAATTAGCTGTTAAAACCAACACTTATATAACTACAAGCTTGGATAGTAGTTTCTTGGGTTAGAAGTTTTCACTACAGGGATGAAACTTTTGCACTACAATGACGAAAACGTCATCAATCGTCATCAGATATCGTTGATTTTCTGAGAGAGCACTTCCGGCAGAAGAAAACGCATTACACAAAATAATCGAAGTGTCTTCACTTGTTATTTATTACACTATGGTATTAGTTCAGTAGGCCTTCAGTTAGTGCCTGTGTAAGGCCCATTGAATAATGCTTTATGAAGCACAGTTTCCATTTTTGGAACAAATGACGAATTTTAACTCATGTTGTACATACAGCTCACAGATGCAGTAGGTTATATGTATTTCAACTCTTATTTGCATTTAATGTTTTTAGAAGCACTTTCTGCCTTTCTCATTTCTAATAATCCACGAGAAGGTTGGAAAAGGTGCACGCTCCGACAGCATGAAATGCGAACCGGAGCTTCTGAACCGGCCTGGGCCCTGTTTCACCGGTGATAGCAGCACGCTGCTCTCAAATTGCGCGAGCTGACGTAATGTGATGACGTCATACTGCTGACGTAAGGGGCAATTCTGGCGCACGATTGCCGCAATATTGTTTTACGTCATCAGCTAAATGTTCGAAGTTAATGTCCAAATTTTTCCTAAACCCAACTTCTTTTAAATACATCATATTGAAAAAAATATATCTCAAAAATATATTTACTATCATGACTGCGTAAACTCTTACTTTTAGGCTCATACGTCACTTAATGCCGCCGCCAAGGTCGCGGCAATCGTGCGCCGGAACTACCCATTACGACAACAGTATGGCGTCACGACATGACGTCAGCTCGCGAAACGTGATAGCAGCTTGCTGCTATCACCGGTGAAACAGGGCCCTGATTAGGCCGAAGTTTAACTCCAACCTTACTTATAAAGCCTTGCTTTTCTTGGGAAGCCGAACCAGAGTCCGTTAACCGCAATTCAGGGCACATCGCGACGCTTACTGCAGTCACGCATGCATGCTTGCAACAGTTAAAATATGTTAAAATGTGGGTTTCGTAAGCAGTAGCAGCTTAGTAGGCAAGACGGTTGGACAGTTCTGGGGTTTATGTAGGTGCCTACAAATTGGGGACTTTCCCCAGAAGACACATTTTCGTAAGCATTATTGTACCAACATCGGCTTTCGGGCACTATGCCCAAGCAATTGGAGGACCATTCATACGAAATTTAGATGCAAAGGGAAATCACCCACATCGGAACATGTACCGGCATCAATAGCTAGGCAATTACTTAGAGGGCGTGGGGTAGACAGGCCCACATATCAATAATATGGTGCTTATGCCTTTTCCTGTGTTGGCTCATAGTTTCCATTTTTGGAACCTTCCGTTTCCAAAAATGGAACGTTGACAAGGGTTTGCGTCAGGGCATCAGATTCGCCATTTGCGTACGAAAATATTGTTGGATTTTACTGTTTTGGGAGAAAACATATCGACAAAAAGACACGCCAGCTGAAAAGATTGCTATTAACTTAAGAAATAAAGAAATATGCCTGCTTAAAAATTGGCGTTTCCAATTTTGGAACTGGCGTTTCCATAAATGGAACAAAGTGCCTTCCAAATTTGGAAACGTTTCCTTTAATAGATACGTATCTATAAATGGACTGCTGATACCATAGTGCGCCCGACTGGAATTTAGTGAAATGAACAACATCAACATAATCCAACCAGTCCAAACCTGATCTCAAAACCGGCTTTGCATCCTATCAGTATTTCAGTCACACTTACTATACGATGTCTCTGATTCAGCCCACCGGCATTACCTAGTGTATTTCTGTAATACACACATTTTCTATAAAGGAACTTGCAGGTATTTATAAGGAAACCATCATCCAATCAATCTTAATCAGAGGCCAGTTTTACCAACAGAAAAATAGCCGCCTGCCAGAATTTTTCGCCCAAAGACCGCCTCGCATACTCGCATACAGAGGGTAAACAGTAAAGCTGTATCTGCTTACCTTACATGCCCATCAGCTTTATACTCTGTATGTGAAGCGGTCTTTAGGCAAAACAATTCTGGCAGGGCAGGTGGCTATTCTCCTATTGATAAAACTGGCCTCAGATTGACAATTTTCAGCCCAAGCCAATTGCCTAATAATCTTACCATGATCTCATTCAAGCCACTGCATGTTCTGTTGTCAACAGTACTGTTTGGTTTGGTCAATTTCATTCCTGACATTTCTTGTCATCTGGTGCCTGGTGGTCAACTGCACTGACCACATGGATTTGACCAATCTGAGGCCAAGAAATAACAGCAAGCTATCAAATTTTGCTGCAAAATGTTGTTATGCAAATTATAGCAAGTTGTAACTTGTAATGCTTCTCAACTCGACTAAATATGGATGTCAACACTGAAGGTGAAGATATCCAGCTCGACAGCATCATCATCACAGACAAAATGGTACCTAATGGGCAAGCTTCTTGGCTCCAAAAATCCATGGACCATGGAGGTTTGGGAGACACCCTTAAGACTGGAAGCTGGGTTGTGACACCAATATTCAAGAAAGGCGACAGAAGTCTTCCTGGAAATTACCGAACTGTCAGCTTGGCTCCAGTGTCTTGCAAGAGAAGGAACTATCACTGCCATGGGCGTCGGGCCAGCTCCCCAAAAACCAGCATCGTTTCAGGGCAAAGAGATCCTGCATCGCTCAACTCCTAGAGGTTCTAGAAGAGTGGACGAAGACTCAATAATAATGACTCGCCCGAAGCCTGTACCTCAATTTTCGAAAGGCGATTATGTGCCCCATGCCCCCACCAACGCTTCCTGAACAAGATGAGAGCACGAGAAAGCGGAGTACGGGCAAAGTGCTTGACTAGATCTAGTCATTTTCGACAGAACAGCACCAGCAGGTCAGCATCAGAGGACAGCGATCACCGCGGTCCCTAGTGTGGAGCGGGGTTCCTCAGGGATCTGTGCTGTGGCCAACACTTTTCATTGGGAACGTAAACGACATGCCCAGCGTTGTTGACTGCTCAATTAAGATATTCGCCGACGACACCAAGCTGTACTGGAGGGTTCAAACCGCTTATGACACAAGACTCCTACAGAACGATCTGGATGCCATCATCGAGTGGTCCCAAACCTGGCAGCTACCGTTTAATGAAGACAAGTGCACTGTTCTCCACATCGGCAGCCGCAACCCGGGATGGACTTACACGCTCAACGGCCTTCCGATACAGAACCGGAGAGAGATCTTGAGGTATACGACAACGACCTGAAATTCAGAAAACAGGCAGCAAGTGCCGTAGCAGCAAAGACATCACAAGTATTGGCTTTGATACGCAAGTCATTCCAAGCCACCAACTGCGACACTCCCCCTGCTATTCAACTCTCTCGTTAGACCCCATCTCGAGTGCGACTGTTGCATTTGGGGCCACTTCTCTGATGCTCAACAAAAGGCTTTCGAGCAGCTGCAGAGACGTACCTACCACGAAACTTGTTCCGGACATAAGGCATCGGCCATACGGCTGATGCTCCTGGATCTCCCCTCTCTGTACCTACTACAGACGACGATGCGGACTGCGGAGGCTACGTACCCAGGTGCTACACGGAGAGGTAGATGTACACCAATAGGACTTCTTCGTCCCAACTCTGAACTGGAGAACAGTAGGACAGGCGCGGATACAAGGGGGGGGCCATGGGGGCCATGGCCCCCCCCTTGGCCGATTTTTTTTCAAAAATAAAATAAAAAGTTAAAAAGTTAAAAAGCTGAAAAGGGGGCCTCCTGAAAATAAACTGGCCGAAATCCGATGAGTTTTTTTTTTTACCTACCCACTTAGTTATTTCTTAGAAGACTAGCTGAGAAGACTTCTTTGTTAGAAGATTGGTAAAGCTTTTCATAACTTGGAGGTCTCTTATACTCACAGAGATGACCACTTTTACAGGGCCTCCTAACCTGCACAGAGGGCCTCCAAGCCTGCACAGATGTTGAGATGTTGCCTGAACAGCTAGATAAGCTCAATAGACGCAGTTTTTTTTGGGGGGGGGGGGCCCAACAAGTGGGAAGATGGGGCCTCCAACAGGTGGGATTATGGGGGGGGCCTCCTGGTTTCTAATGGCCCCTCCCTTGGAGATTTTCTGGATCCGCCCCTGCAGTAGGACACCCTCGGAAGATGTGCAAGGAAGAACGTGGGCCAAAAGACATGACTGCTTCAGCACGAAAGTGATAACGACTGGAACTCTTTCCCCTCTAAGGTCGTCCTTGCTCCTCCCTTGGGCCTGTTTGGACGCGCCTGGATGCCCACTGGGATGGGATGAGGGATCCGATACTGAGCTCCCGATTGACGCACTGCGCACTGCTCTAAACACTGCTCGATGAGAACGGGACCATCAGACCAAGTGGCCTACACAACTCCCGGAATGCGTCGTGCCGCAGGGGTTGGCAACCTACGGCCCGCGACCGTCTGACGCCTGGCCCTCGGCCGTCATCAGCAACTAGTGTTGTGTTCCGGGCCCGGCCCGTGGTTTAATTCACCAAATCTCTATCTGGTATGACCAGAGGTCGAATTATCCATAAGGATTTCATTCGGCCATCATTTATTGTAAGGACTATTTTATTGTAAGGAGGCCTCAAACTGTTTTCTCAAACTAAAATCAAAATATTATGTAATGTGACACATCCTTGGGAGCATTACAGCTCTTGCACAGCATTACAGCTACTTTTTGGAATGTGATAAATGTGCACTGTATTACAAAAGTTGGCATTACATCACAGCAGCTGATGTGCAAGCCCACTGCAAAAAAAAAAACAAATATGTCAGGTTAAGCCTACCTTTATAGTCAATGAGATGTAACAATGTGACTTTCTTATTTGTTTCAGATTTCATTAGTCGCGGCTCATCTCGAACAAGTGCATGACAAAGATTGAGAGGTCATGGCTTCCCAATATGATATCCCTTGGTATATGCTGAAGGGACTTGATCCGACCAATACAGAAACATGTACGCTGAAAGGGTCGGTGACGACGGGCATGGAGCCCAGTGCCCGTGATGAGATAGCAGTCAAACTGAGAAGTGTCGCCTACATCGCCCGTGGCCGGGTCTTTTTTGACGTGAAAATAGACCAAATCAGTGAGGTATGTACACGCACGACCGTGAATATCGGGGCTTAAATGACTGATGTTCCAAAGTTAAGTTATAATAACTCCATATCAGCTATAAGAATACTAATAGTGCATGTCCTAATAGTGCATAGCTAAGTATTTGCAATGGTTAATTTAATCTTTACGCGGTTATAGTACATTAGGCACATATCATACGTTAAACAGGTTTATGGTGTACAAATTTAAGTTGTGATGCCCACCGACTGTTTTTTGACGTTTCAGGCATTGAAACTACGCTCACTGGACCACGTTCATGTTCTGGTCGTTGTCAACCCGAAGTTTGGCTTCGTGAAGAATAAGGTGAACCTTGATATTCCAAGGAATTCGCTTCTGTTTTTCCTTACCATTTGTGTCAGTGGTGTTATTCAAAGTGTCATTTTAAGTTTTTTTAATTGGAAAAAAATGTGTCATGCTCTTGTTTCGTTTACCACATGCCGAGATATCCCTTTAACATTAGCACGTGCATTTGGGAAATGGCTTCGGCCCGCCTCGGCTAATGTTGAAGGTATTTGGGAAACGATTCGGCCCTAGGGCTTTTTGATTTTCCCAGACAAAATTTTACTGAATATTCTAAGCGGAAGAACCAATTCCAAAGAAGATATTTACGGATTGTGTGTTCACTAACAGCAACAGCAGAAGTGAGCAAAATTAAGTGACTGCGTTTTCACTTACTTTTCTGTCAACGTAATTCAACTAAACAAGGGTATAGGTATCGGTCAAATGCCAATGTATTTATTGCTGCAGAACATGGTCAGCGAACTGATTATTACACTTATTACAACATAATGCACGCAAAAAACGAACATTTTAAATGCGCGAAGCATCTTAACAAGCCACAATGAAACATTTGATATTGCTCCAGCTGGGATCCAAGACGCGTTTGATTAAGCGGTTCACCCAATTTTCAGTTTTCCTCACGGTTTCCTCACTCCTGCTGGAAGTGGACTCCATATCTTTATTCTAACTTCTGACGCTTCACAATCTTCATCCTCAGCCTTTTCAAACCCTAAATAAGGGGGAAGTAGGAAATTTCATCTGTCATACTCAACGCGGCCCAATAATGAAAAACACAAAAAGATAATCACGGTGACTATAAATATGATCATAGTATTAATATAATATTAACACAATATTAAGAATATAATAATATATATCAAATGAATATGATATTAACTGTTGCGCCGGTACGGCATGTGGTAAACCTCTTCCCAACCTTGGGCTGTGAAAATGCAATTTTATTCACCTCGGTTTTTGGCTAAGGACCTCGTGCCTACCGGCACTCGGTCCTCCGCACAAAAACCTCGGTGAATAAAACGCATTTTCCCAGCCCCGGTCGGGAATATATATTCCCAATTTAAAGCAAAGACAAGTTGCCGCTCGCTTTTGGGCGATGAGCTAGTACATCACTGCAGGTGCCACCTCCATAGACAGTGGAGTGAGCCGACCGTTCCACGACCCTCGGTGACCGATCCTGACCCCGGCCTCCTCCCTGCAGGAGACCTGTCTGCGCCGGCTGCGGCTGCTGCCCCGCGAGCTGGACTGGAAGAAGGCCCTCTCTGTTTGGCAGAGCGTGAGCGGTTTCCAGGGCGAGCCCCACACCCGACGCCCGGACGACCAGCTGGAGGCGATAGAAATACCGGTCGCCGCCGCCCCCGGCCCCGGTCCCGAGCCCAAACCTGCCGACCCGCTGCTAGACTTCGTGGACAGTATGCGTCAGCCGGTGAAGGGGACTCGGCCGGAGGACTCTGGATCGGTGGACGAGGGGAAGGGCGAGCCGGCCTCGCAGTCAGACGCCCAGACGCAGAATGGTGAGGGCGGCGCGCAGGGGACGGCCGAGACGGCAGCGGGAGACGCTCCGGCTCCAGCCACCACGGAGGACCCGCCAGGCACTGCTGCTGAGGCAGAGAAGGACGCTGTCGTGGAAAAGAAAGCTGAGGTGACCCCTGAAGGGTCTGACGCTGCGGCGGCTGGTGCGAAGGATAGTGCCGTGGAAGGCGAGCCTGCTACTGAGGCCATGGAGACTGAGCCTGCAAACGTCGACACTCCCAGCACCGCCAGCACCGAGCAGGAGCCCTCTAAACCGGCCGACGCAGCGGCTAGTGAGAAGGTCCCTGTGAAGGAGAAGCCGGTTGATTCGCCGATGGAGACGAGCGCGCCGCCTACGGAGACTGGAGCCGCCGACGCGGCGCCAGAGGACGCAACGGAGCCTGCCGCGGCTACTCAAGACGCTCCTGAACCCGCCGCTGCTAATCAAGACGCTCCTGAACCCTCCGCTGCTTCTCAGGACGCCGCGGAGCCAGCCGCTGCTCAGGACGCCGACGTCTCGGCTCCGCCGCCGCGTGTGGCGCCCCCTCCCCCGCCAGAGGGTGCCGTGTCGTTCCGCGCTACCTGCTACCGGGCCGGCGGCGGAAAGCAGGGGCACGCGTTCAGCTCCAACGAGGGCGCGCAGAACTTTGGCGGCGCCGTCCAGGAGCTGTTCAACTGGAAGGTACAGATGAAGGGCTACGACCTGGAGGTCATCCTCGACGTGGACTTTGGTGAGTTTGGGCAGAAATGGATGGTTGGAAGGTATAGTTTGATCGGCTTAAATGGATGACTGGTCAGTACTGCCAATCAACCAACAAACCTCGAAGTAAGCCATAGGAACCTTTTGAGCGGATAGGTACTGGTATTTTTCTGTGTAATACACCATGGGCTACTTTTTGAAATATTTTATCAAGCATCCCCCTCTTCTATCTTGATCTGCAAAATACGGATTAGTGTTGTGCTTACTTGTTGAGTTTAAGTCGGGTGCTACTCGACTGGTAGCTGGTCGAATTCAAAATTTATTAATAAAGTTTGTTTGATATTTAATGGAATAACCTTCTGTTCAAAATTCTAAAAATTGCCAAAAGTTACCAAAAACACTTGAATATATTTCGGAGGCGTTCCTTCATCGGTTCAAGTGATAAACATTTATATCAATGTTAATCACTTGAATAAATGATTAATCACAGATATAAATGTTTATCACTTGAACCGATGAAGGAACGCCTCCGAAATATATTCAAGTGTTTTTGGTAACGTTTGGCAATTTTTAGAATTTTGAACAGAAGGTTATTCCATTAAATATATTACATATAATGCTGTTCACCAGAGTGCTTCGTCATTTGATTGCAAAGTTTGTTTGAATTTAATCAATCGCAGTCAAGTATTCGCGCAGACTCCTGTTTCCTGGCTGTGTCCCTCCTCTTCTTACAGTCTCTCAATATTTGTATCCAGACGGTAGATTGCCTCCGTAGTCCGTGTCCCACTGGCCGGCCTTCTCTGACCTTGTTTTTGCTCGTTTACCGCAGATATGGTGAGCGTCGGCCTGTCGCTGACTCCTCGGGCGCTGTTCTACCGTAACCTGGCCAAGACGGGTCCCACGTCGCTGCGCTCCACCGTGTGCTACGGCTTGCTGATGATGGCCAAGCCGCAGCCCTACGAGGTCGTCGTAGACCCCATGTGCGGCGGAGGGTCCATCTCACTCGAGGTAGGTCTGACGGACCAAGGGGGATGCTGGGAGCTGGCGCACGAGGTACCGTGGGCGCATCGTTAGAATTGATACTATGCATATAGCTGTCTCCTATGCTACCAATACCATGGTCAGCACAACAGCGTAACCGATCTCATTGCATTTTTTTTGGGGGGGGGAGGGTTCCTGCTTTGTTACTTGTTTTTCATAAAAAGTGCTTCTAATCGGCACGTCATTTGTTCTTCGCCGAAGAAAGATTTTGTCTTGCGAAACTTACTGTCCAATTTGGGCTCTATTGCTCCTAGTTCTGTCTTAAACGCTTTTGCACACTAGCATATGCCAAAGGCCGAAGGCCAGAGACGATTTCATCTGATTTTCGTGATTGAAACAAATGTATTAGACCAATTTTATATATTTTTAAAGGGTTCTAGGTACTTCTAGGTAACTTTATTGCAATCCAAAACGTCTCTTTCAATCGTGTGCGTCTTTACTTTACTCTATTGACAAGTCCATGCGTTCCTGCACTGCTCGACAGCAGCGCCCCTCTACCGCCGCTGGCTCCGGCTGGCTCACGTCAGTGGCGCCCCAAGCGGCCGACTCTCCAACTCAGCCGCTCTCACCGCGTTATGTGCAGCTACTGCGGCGAACGGTTTAGGCTGCCTCGCGACTGTCCTGTTCCGCTCACAGCGCTCCTCTTTCTGGTCTGACAGGGCGCCCAGGCGTTCCCCGGTACCTTCCACATCTGCGGCGACAACTATCCGGACGCCGCGCCGCGCGTGCTGCTGAATCGCGAGTTCAGCGCGCGCCAGCTCAGCCCCACCGCCCAGCTGCCACTGGACGTGCTCACCTGGGACTGCACCCGGCTGCCGCTGCGTGACGCCTGCGCTGACGTCATCGTCTCCGATCTGGTGGGTTATGTGCAGCTGGTGAGTGCCGCCGAATCGGCCGCCTCACCGCAGCCGCCGCCGCTGCGGCCACGGCGCACGCCCAGCCCAACGCAGTCGCTGTTGTGCTGCGGCGGCGGGGGTCTGGGCAGGGAGCCTCACTCAGCTCAGGAGCGCGTGGTTTATAAACGCGAGTTTCTTTTTACTTTAAGAAGTTTCACATTTTTTCCTTATTTAGTTATTTAGTTCCTTCTTTAGTTCCTTAAAAAGAGTTGAATCGCGAGTGCGACATTCCAAATCGGGGCTCACTCAGCTCATATGACGACTGGCGTGGCTGTGCGAACTTGTGTTGAGGCTCGTCATCGCGGGGGTGATATGGTGCAAAATCTAGTGCGCAGATCGGTCTCGTGCGGCGCGAGGTCGCCCGCGGCCCAGTTTTCGCGATAGCGGGTTATGTGCGGCTACTAGCTAGCACGGTTTCGGCTGGCATTGTCGAGTTGCGGCGCTGTTTTTTGCGAGCCCGTGAGCACGGACGACGCTGATTGGCTGTCGTTTGATGACGTCAGCGGCTTACGGACTGGCCAAGGTCAACAGCACAAACACTGCCTGGCTGGGGCGGACGGACACGGTATGAGCAGCTACTGGCGGCAGCGACTTAGGCTGACTCCAGACTCGATTTTGTACGATGTGTCACCGGGAACGGACCCACTCTCACGCACTACTAGAGGGCGGGGTAGGGCCAGGGGAGACATGGCTGTACGGACTTATTAAATGCTTGGCCAAAGGCAGGCATGACAACAGGGATCATATTCTACAGTAAGGGTCAACAAGTATCCTTAAGTGGATCCATGCTTTTGGTTCTTTTTTCTATCTAGGTTATTTTTTTAGCATGGAACGGGGACCAGCATGCTTTCATAGTTCATTTGGCTCTCTTCCTATGGGTTTTTGACCAAAGCATAAATTCTGATGGACTTAGTTTCTATGTTGGGGCTTTGTTGTCCTTTTTTGTCATTACAGTTACTTCAGGCTGATTGGTAAATCCCATGCAGTGCTGCGACGCTGTTTCAACGTCACACGGGAATGCTATTATTTGGCTTGTTCGTTCAAGTGCTCCTCTGCTCGATGTGTTCGCACGTTTAACTATCAAGGAAGCTGTAACTGTTGTCCCACTGTGGCCTTTGCTGTGACCGCTGTGTTCTTCTACCAGCCATTCGGGAAGCGGCTGGGCTCCAAGTTCGACAACCGCACCCTGTACCCGGCCTGTATGGAGGAGATGGCTCGCATCTGCACCCCACGCTACGGCCGAGCCGTGCTGCTCACCCAGGACAGACGCACCATGGAGAAGGTGGGTAGACGATGGGGATCAACCGCGTGAGTGGACGGACGCGCTGCGTTAAAAAAAAAACTAGTACAAATCATGGAGATTCATGTCTCGTTTATTGCGTGCCTTATGTCTCATCATATTTTGCATAGCCAACGACAACTAATGATAAATTGGTGGTTAATACGGTTACATATGGATTGCATTGGTTGGCAGTCTCTTAGGCTGGGACGTTGATGCGCCGTGAGCTTGTCATTCGGTACACCATTGAGCGTGGACGTTTGTAGTAGATTCACGTGTGGCGTCGTCGCTGACTGCTGTCTCCGTCTCTCCCTCACCAGACCCTTCAGCTGGGCCGCATCAAGAGTCTCTGGCGATGCCGGGCCTCGCCCTACGTCAACATAGGCGGCCTGGAGGGGATCGCCTACTTCCTGCAACGTTCAGACATGGTGCGTCGCCGCCGGCCACCGCAGGCGCCGGTTGCTGCCGCCCTCCGCCGGGCCCCGCCGCAGTCAGAAGCTACACCAGCAGCGCCGAGCGGCAGCCCGACTGAGACGGAGCCGGAGACAGGCACAGCCGGCTCACCGGCCACTGCACAGTCCGGGGATGCGCCTTCGGTAGAGAGTGAGGCGGGATCTCAGTCGGCCTGCAAGGAGGCGGCGGTTGAGACGGAGAAGATTAATCGTGAGACTCTGAAGACTGTTGTCATCCCACCTGAGGCAGCGTCAGGGGAGCCGCCTGGTGAGACGATAACGGCAAAGGAGAGGGCTCCGGAGGTGGCCACAGACTTAGCGAAGACGGCAGAGCCAGTAGCTGCCCCGTCTGCGAAGTCAGAAGATTCGTCAGCTCAGCCGTCCCCAAAGTCAGAGGTTCCGATAGATGAACCGTCTTCGAAGACAGGAGACGCGGCAGTTGAGCCGTCCCCCAAGTCAGAGGATCCGATAGATGAGCCATCTTCAAAGTCAGAAGACCCAACAGTCGAGCCGTCCACAAAGTCAGAGGAAGCGGCAGTCGGGTCGTCCCCAAAGTCAGGCGAGCCAGCAGATGCTTCACCCTTGAAGTTGGAAGACCCGGCGGCTGAGCCTTCCCTGACGGTGGCGGAAGTGGGCGAACCGGCGACTGCCAAGGTGCCCCCGGAGACGGGCGATGCTTCGGAGCTACCTCAGTCAGCGACACACCAGACTGAGTCCGCCGCCAGTGTCTGCTCGGAGGCGACACCCACTGAGAAGTCACCCGCTCCAGTTTCGTCGGAGTCGGTACCTGAGGCAGATACACAAACGCCAGCGGCGGAAAGTTCCGAGGCGACGCCCGCGGCGTCTCCGGCCAAGGTGACGCCGGGCTCACCCGCTGCAGCGGAGTCGGTCGTCACGGGGGCTGAGCGCACGGAGCCGGCGCCGGCGCCCCCGCCCGCCGATACCCCGGCGGAGTGATGACCCGCGCCCACCAGTCGGCGATCCGCCTGGTTGGGGCTTCCGCCCAACGGCCTCGCTTGTTAGCTGTGACGGAGCTTCCATGTGATAACCAAGTGGTTCTTTGTATGATTTGTTCAGTCGAGATAAGTCGTTCCTGTTGGGAGATGTGTGGGTATTTTGAATAGCCAAGGATCTCTTCCGATGTCAAATACAAGTTGCTCGTTATTTTCACTCGGTGTGTGTCTGTGTATGTTGGCTTCATTATTTCGAAGAGCTGCTTTAGAAAGAAGTCTTTGTAAATTTGTACTTCCTAGGAGGGACCATTAGTTAGGACCTCTCACGATTGTCGAGGGGCATATGAACGATTCAACTGGCGATAAAAACCCAACATCTGTCATAAAACTGGAACATTTTATTCAAATTCGAACAATGATTAACTTTACGATAACACCGATTGTCGAACATGTCGATGCGTGCGACGCCGAATGGCGGCGCGTCTCTCTGTTGCCATGGATACCGCCGTGTGTCCACATTCAAAACAAAGCAGCGCGTCAGCAGTATCACAACAGGCCGCGCCGCCGGCACAGACAGCGTGTGAAATTTAGCTTGAGCTCCAGCACATCGCAGAGAGATACAAAACACACCGCTGAAACGCCGTTCCAGCTCCATAAAAGCCTTTGTACACACCTACGCTTCACGACCCGCACCAAGCGAGCTACATATGCCGAGATGGGGCGCTTCGCAGTGCGCCGAGCCCCTGCAGCGCAGCGAGCGGGCTCGAACCGTCGTCCAGCGCCCGCACGGCCGCCGCAAGTCACGTGACTAGAGAGATAAACATGCGACACGCAGTACAAAAGTGACGCGCCGGTTAGTCTGTTAGCCGACGAGCCGCGCGCGCTACACAAACCTCTCGAACCGCTCCGAGGAACCCGCTTCATCCGAATGAGATGTTGGTGCGCCTGGCGGTCTGACGGCTGTCGCCGGCACCTGCCTTGCCGCCGACACTGTCGCCGTTTGGCTCGTTAATCGCTCCGAGACCGTCTCGGTCGGTCCGCCGGGGGCAGCCGGAGGTGCCGGCGTCGGCTCTGTGGCGGCCTCAGCTGCCGTCGGTCCCTGCTCAGGGGCGGTCTGCGCCGCCGGCACCACCACCGCCCGCTGCGGCGCCGGCAGGGTGACCAGCACAGCCGCCGGCGCCACCTGCCCGTCAGACTTGGAGACGGCACCCCTCGCGGCGGCCGCCGGTGGCGCCGTGTGCGCGGGCTCCGGCCGGTCGGCCTGCGACGGCGCCACGGAGCTCTGGCTGGCAGAGCGGCTGGTGCGGCCTCCATAGTGAGGGTACTTGACGCGCGCACTGCCGCCGACCGCGTACGGCGACACATACTCGCCTGAAAGACGGCACACAGTCAGGCACCGGTGAACTCAGCTGAAGACGCGGCGCGACCGAAACAGTGACCCAGAGTCGGCGACAGCTGGTATGAAGCGCCTGCGCTACCCCAGGATAAGCTACAAATATCCGGACGTTCCGGGATGCTACTAAGACGTCCTGCGCTATTTCATAACTTGAGTATCAGTAGCTACGGCGAATGTCTCGATTTCTTCCGTGCAGTGGTTGAAAGTATGGGTCTACCGCCAGTGCGGTTATATTCACACCTTCGCAGGTTCGCATGATCACCGTGCTTCGACATGCTTGGGATTGCTTGGCGTGCTGATGATTATTAGTGGGCAGTAATGGCCATTCCTTCATCCACACTGGTTAGTATCCTCAGAAGACGACCCCTGGCCGTCTCGCTTTCATGCACCCACCACCACCAAGTTCACAGAACCATAACGGACACGACCAAAACAGCAGACGCCGCGACCGCCACCGCCATCAACGGCAACGGCAAGAGCAGTAAACGAGAAATTAGTAACCATGCAGACCACCACCACCACCACCGGCAGTTGCAGGATCAGTAGATCGCCATCCCATGCAGTGAGTGTGCAGATCACGCCTCCCTCAGTCCGTCTCCGCCCCGGGTAGTTAGTGCAGTTCTCGGACATGCCGCGGCACCGCTCCATCGGGCGCCGCGCGCCACTAGCGGTGCAGCCAATGTCACCTACCGGAGAGTTTGGACAGCGGCGCCGGCGCCGGGCACGCCGCCGGGGCGGCGGGCTCGTCGGGCGGCACGTCCATGCTGCTGACGCGTTCTCCCCGGACCAGCTCGCCCGCGACGCGGCCGAGTGGGCGGTGCGGTCGCCGGTTGCTAGTTGATGCTGCGGGGCTGGCCGCCGGCTCCGGGAGGGACTGGGCGGCCGAAGGAGGGCGGCGCCGCGTGGAGGTGGATGGGGGCGGCGTGCCGCCCCCGCCCCCGCCACCGGCAGCGCCCACCTCGCCGCCCATGTAGACGCCACCGTCGACAGGCGACACGGCGCCGCTGCCGCTGTTGTCCGAGATGGACTTGCGCAGCTTGGGGTGGGCGACGCCAGCGTCCGGAGGAGCCAGCAGGCTGGGCGAGCTCTGACTCTGAAACTGGACAGAGATTACCGTCAACCACGCGTTGCTCACTGGTGATGATAAAACTAGCGACGCGAAAATCATCAGCGTAACAAACGACCTCATCGTCATAAACGACTGACAACTTCTGGCACACAATTCCAGGCACAGTGTTTGCATACAGGTTGACGACGTTCCGTTAAAAGTTCGGATTATTCTATCCGGGACATTCTATTTATTCAGCCGACGACTACCCAAATCACTCGTTGAAACATCCACTCGCACGTACTGACTCCAGGCCGATGTAGCTCTTGAGGCACATCTTCACGATGGCCGGTTTGTCCTGCTGTGTTACGGTGACGGCAGCGGCGGCGGCAACGGCAGCGGGTGGCTCGGCGTCGTCCGACTCCTGCGACGTCAGACGCTCCTCGCCACCGCTCTTCTCCAGGCTGGACGAGATGGACGACACGCTGGCACATTCGAGACCCATGTAGTCGCGGAGTGATCCCCGGTAGATGAGGCTGCGTGGCCGGCCGCCGGCGCCTGCCGCCTGCTCACCGTTCGGGCTCGAGTCGCCGGCCGGCGGCTGCAGCTCGTCTGGAACCAGATATGGAACATTATGGAGGATATAGCAATCTACATCTGACACTTGCCCGCTGAGACCTGTCAGTCACGAAATTACAGGTATCTGCGGACGATTATTCTTTGATAGGTGCTGCGTTATCTTCCGTCAACATACTCGTAACCCTTATCTCTCCGCTTCCTCCTTCTGTTTCTCGTATCTCAGCTATATGTCTCGATGTTGACGGATGGCCGGCACCGTCTTTGTCTCACCCCACCTTTCTGGTCCTTTTCCCCCTCCTTGATCCTCCCTCCATCGCCCTCCCATTTTCTCCCTCCTTGGTCCCTTCCTTCTCCCCTCCCTCCTCTCCCTCAATCTCGCTATACGAGTATCTGACCGGCGGCGGGCGTAGTCTCCTCCCGGCTGCGTCGCTCCTGAATCCGACTGGTGGCCCGTCGAACCACGGCCCGGTACATGTGGGGGTAGTCGGCCGGAGTCACTAGCTCCTCCGGACCGAAGATCTCCTGCACGTGGCTGACCAGCAGCTCGATGACACGCGTCTGGTGTACCTGGAGGACAGAGACGGCGAGAGGTGATCGGCAGTCCAGAAGAACAGCCTAGTATAACATTGGGAGTACGGATTGAATACGGTGAAGAGGTCAGCGTGCCCCGAAATCCACGCAAAATATCTGACTAAGCTGAGAAATCCGATGTCAGTGGTTTTATCCAGCAAATTATGAGGGCCTGTAGTCGAAAGACAAAGAACTGTTGCATCAAAGGCGACCTCTTAGGTTACTGCTTAAACGAGCGAAAGCTAACACCCAAAGCTCAACTTCGCATATCAACTCCGTAGAGTTGAATGAACGGGACACACACGCTCTGTTTAGTTCCAGCCAGCGATTCGAATGCCAGGTCAGCTCCCCGCCTTTCGACTCGATGCCCCGACTCAGTGTCTTGCCAGATAGGGCTCGACTGCGTTAGGCCAGTGTTTCTGCCCAGTCCCCGCCGTCTCCACTGACCGTGTCTACCAGCGAGCTGAGTGAGGCGCTGCCCTCCGCCGTCCGCAGCAGCGTCGGACCGAACACGATGCCCAGGTTGGAGGGCGGCATGTTGTTGGTGTTGGCGCCCCGGCTGACGCGCTGCAGGTGGTGCATCAAGAAGGCGAGCGTGGTGTGGTGCGGCCGTGGCAGTCGCTTCACCACCGCCTGGAGCTCCCGCACCGCAGACGGCACGTCACAGTCGTTGGTCGGGTGGTCCTTGGCGATCCTGTGGGAGGCGAGGGGGAAGGTACAGTTGTTACTTGTTGGCGTCATTGAGCAAGATAATCTTCTGGTAGTGGGACGAGGGAGTGGGAACGAGTGCTTGGAAAAGCAGTGGAGGACCGATCAGGGTGCCCTTCACTTTGCACCGGCTGCAAACTAGATGCAGACCAGGGCTGCTTTTAATGCCATCGTTTTGCGGTCATGACTTGAGAAACTAATTGCCGAGGGTCAACGATCCGCAGCGTATGACACCGACCTGATGAAGTCTGAGTAGAGTCTGAAGCAGAGAAGCGGTTCGGGCAGCTGGCGCAGGTACAACTTCAGCACGTTCGCGATCACGTTCGGGTGTACGTCCGTCAGGTCCACCAGGTGGGCGCCGTTCTCAAACGCCTGGCACAGCTTCTCCACGCGTGACTTGACGCCCGACACGCGGTAAATGCCCTGAAAGTCAGAATGGGCGAAGGTCATGCCAGTTTGTGGGGATGTGTAAAAGGGCAAGGGTAGTCAAAATACCAAGCATCGTCACACTGGATGAGTATAAATTTATGGTCTACGACTCTACATACTTATCGCTTTCGTCGCACATTAGTCGAAATAGCAAAGCAGCATTATTCGACGCCCTCACTGACTTCCCAAATAAAAAGAATAGCATCAATAAGGGATGAGAAAAATCAAAGCTGAACACCGCGCTGGAACATTCTTATCACCTTGATACCACAGCCGCGATGGTCGATCTCGGCGACACACTTGCAGACTAAGTGCGGAATCGGCGCGCACGTCTCGGCGAGGTGCTGCGACAGGTCCACCCCGAACGTGGTCATCTTCCGCGGCAGCCGCTTGTGACCGCACTGGATGGCCAGCGTCTCCACGCACTTCTTGTGGCTGGTGAGGCCGCACTGTAGGCAAGGAGGGGCGTGTCAGGCGGGAACACAGTTGATGGATGGCAATTCGTATGGCTAACGTTCAGGTTGAATCGAAACAAGAGGTCCAGCTATGAAGTTTTGCGGACAGGACACTCCCTAGGACACTACGAAGCGGAAGAGCCGGTACTGACCTCCGTGCACTCGAGGCCCTGGAAGTAGACGTAGGAGTCGCACTCGCGGCACCGTGAAGGTGTGATGAGCTTCCGGAAATGGTGCGTCACCGCCGCCTTGCTCATGGCCCGCCGCGTCACATAGCCGTCTGTGGGAGAAGAGGAGTCATGGTCATCAAGCCGTCCGTAGGGGACGTGGTTTACTAACAGCCATCAAGGGTAGAAGTCACTGTCGGTGAAGTCACCTGTCAGGGACAAATGGGGTCACTGTTAATGTGAAGCCGTTTATAAGGTAGTTCACGTAGGAATGACGTAATCAGTCTCGGCCCAGTTCGTCTCGTCTCCGGGCTTTCAATATTCCCCGTTCTCCGTACCGGTCTCCTGTTCGGTCTCCAGCTCGTCGCCGCTGCTGGCCGCCGCCAACCGTCGCTCGGCGGCCATAGGACTGGCCGTCGGGGAGGTATCCACAGACTTGGTGCTGCTGCCCACACTGTCCGTGTCAGAGGCGGGCTGAACCGACGGAGGCCACGGCTTGGTGGGCCTCGCGTTACCACCGCCCGAGTCTGCGGAAGAGGAGTGTAGTGGTCAATGGTTGCAACGAGATCAGCCGCATTTGACCGGGAAATGCATGGTGCTGATGTGACCGTAGCTCGTAGACGGAAAGCTGTACGCATTCAGAATGTCCACATTTATGACATTGCCCATTGATGTACTGCTTTACCCCTTTGTTATTTAGGTACCCCAGTATTTCATTTCTCTGTATCTTTTAAAAGCAATTGAGCTCGGATAAAAGCATCCACTCAAATATTCCAAAAAATAGAGAAAGTGGGATCAGGTTGGGCTGAAAATAAAATTCTCAGTGAAGGTTTCGAAAGGCAACCCAAATTTCGTCGCTGTCACACCGAGAGTCGCACCCGAGACGCGAGCAGCCTCGTCGGTCACCAGCTGACCGTTGCTCTTCCTGTCCCTGGCCGGCGCCGGCTCCTCAGGTCCATAGGGCTCGAACATGAACGGTCCTGAGCCGATGGCAGCGGCAGGCGGCGGGGCGGCCGAGCCCGGGGCAGAGACATCCCTCTGACTGCGGGCCGCCGGCAGCAGCCGCTTCACGAACTCGGTGTACTGCGAGCCGGGCTCGTACAGCCGACTGGACTCGCACAGCGTCTGAAACTGAGGGGAGAAGGGAAGGTGTTAGGTTGTCACGTCTGCAGACTGGACAAACACAGAGTCTGACACTGTGGGGAGGATGGGTCAGACAACTGGACTGGACTCGCAAAGCGTCTGTAACTGAGGGGGAGGAGGGAGGGGTGAGACGACCCCACTTCGCGCTGGTTCCACGTAGCAGTTATCACACCCAACAGCACATTCATCTACACCCAGAACCAATGCCGGCACCTCTCCTATCACCCATCCCCTGGTGACCTTCATCGACCGCGGCTGTTCGAGGTTTGGTGCAGACCCGAGTTGGATGACGCACCTGGACAGGCATGGGCGCCGTGGCTGTGTGCTGCAACTGGAAGTAGCTGGCCGTCACCGCCTTCATGGTCTGGTCACACTGCAGCGTCAGCTCGCGCACCTGGGTCAGCACCTCGCCCTTGACCTTCTGTAGGGCGGCGTGACGCTCGTTGGCCTCGCGCACACACTCGCGGTAGTAGACTTCGGCCTGTTGCGCCTGAAGAACAAGCACGGGTTTGGTCAGATGGGGCCAGGTGGGCTCGGAGTACTGATGTTTTCGGGTTGGGTAGGCATGGAAGGGGGTTAGAGGACCATTGTAACAAAAGTACTAAGACGCTTGCGGGAGTTTGATACACTGTGGCTCCTCCAGCATATAGCTCTCTTTTTCTTGTTCCTCCTCTCTCTCTCTCTCTCTCTCTCTCTCTCTCTCTCTCTCTCCTCTCTCTCTCTCTCTCTCTCTCTCTCTCTCTCTCTCTCTCTCTCTCTCTCTCTCTCTCTCTCTCTCTCTCTCTCTCTCTCTCTGCATTTTTCCGTCTCTCTCTCTCTCTCTCTCTCTTTCTCTCTCTCCCTCTCTCTCCTCTCCCTCACCCTCTCGCCGCGAAACAGTGCCAGAGGCTGGCAGCTGTGCCGTTCGCACCGTACGACCGAGGTGGTTACCGGGTCCGTCACAGACTGACGGCTCAATTTGTGGCTGCCGTCCGACCCCGCCTACCGCACTGGACCGGTGGGCCCTCCTTTCCCTCCGATTCGAGCAGACTCGACCGTGTCCTAGCAAACACACACTCTTAGGTCAGACCCAACCACTTGCCAAACCGGATACCCGAGCGTATAACTGCGGGCTATGTATCCCTATCAATAACGCCAGAATAACACGATAAGGGATCAACAGACTTGGTACTGTTCGAAGTAAAGACATCAGAGGCGTCAAAGTTCGACCCAAACACGATGGCAAGTTTGAAGATCTTGTCGTCAAAGAGACAGCTCAACGATAAATATAGTAAAATAAAGCCGGTAAAGGAGGACGTCCATTGATCACAAAGGCGCTCGAACACATTACGTTCAAAAGTAAGATTACGGCCGGGCAGCTATCGGTAACGACATCAAAGCGAGAGACGAGGGCTGCACGTGAGGCTCGCTGCGACTTCCATTGTCAGTTCCTAACACCGTGTCTAACTTCTAACGTCGCATGTGCTACCATCCATTCCCATCGGTCGAATCATCAATTATCAACCATCCGCCGCGGGCTGCTGGAAGTTTCAGCCGGGCGGCTCTACCATCCAGTCGATGCGAGGATCCTCAGAGCGGCACAAAGGCCGGGGCGACCGCTGCCGGGTCGCCCCCGCGCTACTTTCCGGCGGCCTCTGACGGCTCCGCTACCACACGGAAGCCGGTGAGCTCAGCTCCTGCCGCCTCGCTCGGCCGCCGCCGAGTCCCGGAGGAGCGGTGCCGAGCCGCCCGTCGGGAGCGCCGTGACAGAGGCACAAGTTTCCCAACCACTTCCCCGGTCGGTCTGTGCTATTGAACGGCGCCGCGGGCGGAGCGCCGGCTTCCCGAGAGGTGGAGGAGGGAGGGAGGGAGGGAGAGGAAGGGAGGGAGGGAGGGAGGGAGGGAGGGAGGGAGGGAGGGAGAGAGAGAGAGAGAGAGAGAGAGAGAGAGAGAGAGAGAGAGAGAGAGAGAGAGAGAGAGAGAGAGAGAGAGAGAGAGAGAGAGAGAGAGAGAGAGAGGGAGACGATGTTCTGAACAAGGGTGGCAGGCTTTATCCATCTCAGTAATTCAATTTTTGATATAACATTTAATGGGATTGGAATAAATGAAAATAAATACATTTAAGGCATTCAGGAAGACTCTTTCCGCATTCAGGAAGTCGTATGCGAGAGCCTATTTAAATACATTGTAATTCTTCCCGCAGCAATCGCATGCGAGAGGTGCGTGCGATTGATGCGAGCGTGCTTCCATGTATTTGAATAGGCTCTCGAGTCTCGCATGCGATTTCCTGACTGCGGAAAGTCTGTTTCAGGCTTTTTAGGTACCCATTTGCCATTAGTTACGATAACATCTTCATTGTCTAACGAGCACCCGTCCCTACCTTAAGTGCGCCCTGATGGAAACCCAAACAGAGTTAAAATAAAAAGTCGGCAAGTACGCCACCAAAAGTTGACACAAACTTCTACAGAAACCGGCTTATCAGCCCCTGAATGCAAAACTTCCCAACTTGGTAAATCTATTTCCGTAAAACATCTTAGCTTCGATAATGGCTGTAGAAGCCTGTTAAAGCTTTGGCTCAAATGAGGTAAACAAGTAGGAAACGACAACACTTTGCAATGTATCAGATATTAAGAACGAATGTTGCATTAACAACCACTTAAATAACTAAAATACATTCCCGGCATTGCAATTGCACCTCATCGTCGTATCTCTAGGAATCTTGTATCGGACGGTTCGGACCATAAGTTCCACCTCATCAATGAAGCATTGCTAAAGGTCACGTCAGGCAGACGAGAGACCCCGAGCCGTGACCTCTCGGACTCTGATGGAGAGCTGGCGAGAGCGAGGGTTTGCAGGCTCTCAGACTCTCCATTAGGTCGGAATACCGAAAAGGCACAGGGTTGAACGCCTGCCAAGCTGACAGCGCGACTGTTTTTAAAAGCATTGACCACTAAAATCGACAAATAATAAGGTACACTAAGAAGGGCGTTCCTGAAGGGCGTTCGTACGAACTGCGGCCGTTTCATAGACCTCTGGTACACTTGTATGAACGCTTCATAGAACTATGGCCGTTTGTATGAACCGATTTCCTGTAGATAACGGCTGTCATCGGAGTCACCTGCTGGCTGCAGTAGCAAGTACAGGTGAGGTTTTACCTTTTCGAGCGCGTCCTCCTCCAGTCTGCGCTTCTTCTCGGTGCGGCTAGCCTCGGTCTGTTCCCCCGCCTCGGCACGCAGAGCCACCTCCTTGGCCCGCTCGTACTCCTGCTGGCGCTGTGGACGGGAAGGAGGGTGAGGTCAATAAAGGGTCAGGTCATAGGTTGAGGCCACTTAAGAGTTAGGCCACTGCAGGGTCAGGTTAGGGTGAGGTCCATGAAGGGTCAGGTCAGAGGGTGAGGACAATGACGGGTCAGGGCAAGGAGGGAGTTCACTGGAGGGTCGGGTCATAAATTGAGGTCACTGAGGGCCGAGGGGTTAGGTCACAGAAGGAGATCACTGAAATGTAAATGAACGAATAAAGCAGATGGTCGTAAAATAAATGGGGATAAGTCAGCCGCTCTTTCCACATTGCATTATCATACACAGGAAAAAGAAAAGGTAATCGTGTTTCGTCACGTCCCATTAGCAGCATAGGTGGATCGATCCTGAAGTGTATGCTCCTAATTATTCTTATCATAATGAATGGACTTCGAATCAGTTGCGATTCTTTCACATAAGTACAATATATGTAATAGCGTTGGGCTATTCCTTATGTGTGATAACGAGAGGTTATTACGTTTGAAGCGTCTAGAGTCTTGCCTTGGCCGTAAACACAGCACTTGAATGACCAGACAGCTAATAATTCAGCCCTGTCGTTCTCTTCCATCAAACTCTTCCCTCATGTCCTCCCGTCGAACATAGTCCTCGCGATGCCCCAAGCCTTCACTTGCACAGCCGAAAACTCTCCCGGCGACCACCCTCGGCGAGGCTGCCGCAGCGACCTGGGGTTACCCCCCCCCCCGGCCAGGTGTCGGCCTCGACGGTCGATGACGTCATTGTGACGTCAGAGCGGCTCACAAACATTGGTGCGCCGCTCACGCAGCCGGCGAGCGCTGAGAGATGCGAGCCACGCCGACGTCGGTCGACGGTAGCCGACGGCACGGGCGGGCCGGTCGAACGGAGACGGGGCGGAGGGACCGAGACGGGGCGGAGGGACTGGAGTGGTGGGATGGATGGGAGAGACTCGCATGGGAAGCGGTGGGACGGACAATACGCATCGTGATGGGAGCTATTTGGAAATAAATGAGCCGATCATGTACAGCGTGGTACATCTGACCCCATAAGCTGCCATCAAATAATCGATGGCGTTTTTCGAGTCATCTGCTCGCAAATTGCAGCAAATTGCCTTGCTAAGCTGTAAGCTGATCGGAAAGTTTGGTGTGTCGAGAATAGAGACGATAAAGCGATAAGTACAACATATAGCAAACTTGCACGAGTAGGTACTGCTTTCTTCTCACAGTGCGAGAAAAAGACGGCAGAGCAGCATACCTGTATGTAGATCATCTTGGCTTTGCGCAGGTTGGCCACCGTTTCATGCATCCGTTTCAGCTCGCGGTGCCAGAGCTCCTTGATCTGCTTCCTGCTGCGTTCGTGTTCATTTCTGCGCGCGCCCAGCGGCTGTCGACAGCGGCAGAGTGGGCAGAGTGAGCGGACGCGGACAGTCTCCGAGTTATCGTGGACTGCCGCGCTGCCGACCCGCGCAGCGTCGTGATAAGCGCTATTTCCCGGTTGGCTAGCATGGGATAATGCCGGGATGAGGCAGGGAATTCGCCGCAAATGCCGCCTGATGATACCCACGCCTTCTGAACGCTGAACGACGTCCTAAAGGCTATAACTAGCTACAGGCATTTACCAAGAAACCAATACATTATAGATTATACAAACATAATAGAATGACAATGCATCAATCGTACATTCCTTTCTCCTAATGTGAACGCTAATAACACAAATTGTGCAAACGTGTAGATATGAAACCATTAGCGATGGAAAATGTAATGCCTATAAGCGATCAGCATGCCATACACCCATACGGTCTTTCCGCATCATATACGCACCTCGATGAACTTGTGCCCCTGCAGCAGGGAACAGGTGTTCTGGATGTTGGCAGAGTTCTCCAGGTCCTGGTCCAGAGCCGTGCAGTAGATAGATTGGAATGGTAGAAAGCTCTGCCATCCACAAATGCGACATGTCAGCGACTGAGTTATATAAACTGCATAAGGTAGGTTTATGTATAGGTGGTCTATAAATGCGTTTATAAATACAGCTTGCTATCACAGTGACCAAACAACAAAGCTGGTCCTAAAGACGGTAGGCCCAAGATTACTTACAGGCCTACGTAATCTGATTTTTCCACAAAGGTAGAACTTTCCCGTTACAGTAAAAGCTCTTTTTCATTCCAGCAGCAGCTGAATGGGTCGCAAGACGTCCTATGACATCCGCAATGTCAAAGGTAAGGCTCAGAGCCGGCTAATAGCCCGGATGCGGCGCCATCGTCTGGCCCTGTCTCACGGGCGTCTGTTGCTTCCAGGCTGCTGCGCCCGCCGACTCGTATGCCGTCTCCGGAAGTCCAAACAAGGCGCGGCAACAATAGGTCGCAGGAAGTACACATGAGGCCATCACACGGCACGTCTGTCGCAAGGCTTTGTTCAAAGGACTATTGCTACAAGCGCGTATGGCCTTGTTCAGGTGCGTGCGGCCCGCTGCAGATCCGGGTTATTAATTCAACGACTGACCGGTTCTGCAGAGGTTTCCGCGTCGTTCCTCGAATAAGCTTATGCGCTTGCCGCATGACGCTCCTTATATGATCGCGCTGTGCGTGCAAGATCCTGTATAAAAGCGTGCGTGAATTATTTCCAAGTTGATATGCCCTAACTTTGAGTATTGCAGCTGGGGAGCCAAATGTGTTCCTCGGCGAGAATACTTTCCGGAAATCACCAAAGAATCACTTTCATGGCCCGGCATCACGTCATGCATTTCTATTCCAGCAAAAACTAGATTTTGTGGCGTCATTCATTATGATCCCTGCCTTCATTTCCGCTGGTACCTACTCCCACAGTACAATGCCACCTATCGTGTTGATAAGATTACAGGGCATACTTGTCAACCGATCATTACAATTTCGGAAGCTATCGACAATCGTTTAGTCAATACCACGACATCCGATCAAGTTATTACAAATTCCGGCATTGAACTGAATGTCTTAGGTACCTATGACCAGCCCCTATCCCTGCCATCCCCATACCTCGTCCAAAACGTCCATGACTTTTCTGACTCACATCTGGAATCCGCTTCTTCTCCATCTCAGCCTACCCCAGGTCAATTGGGTGACATTCAGGCCCCCAAACCGCTGTCTACCGATTTTATTTTTAGCCCCCTCATGGTTGATTGCACTAACTACGAAACAACCCTTCGATGCCATATCCCTCAAAGTTACATTTCGGTTATCCAGAATCAGCGTCCTAATATCCTTCCTCGCGCCGTTCATAACCACCATCTTTACATTAATTCGGACGGTGTTTTGCAATCTAAACTACTTCGGAGTGCCCCAGTAAATATTCACATACGCTTCAATGACATGTCCCTTGCCATATCCCATTACAAAATTTGTCCTCGTATTGAATCGATTGATTCAGTCACTGGGTGTCATTCATGTCCAGTGGCTGCCAAAATTATCATACGAGCCAAATCCATCTGCTCTCCAGGTACGGTATCCGTATCCTTCAATAATATCCCACTTTCATCCCGTGCAGTGGCCTTATCCACTGACAGCTCCCTCGTGACAATTCAGTTCGTTACGTCGGTCCCCTGTCACGAGGAAAGACTGTGTCTTTACTATAACGAAATTAAAAGCTGTGAACCCGTCTCTTTCTGTTTAGATACCCCGACTCTTTCCCTCACCCAGCGCAATGAGACGGTCGCCCAGTCCACAGCCGTTATTCACTCTAGTGGTCTCTTTGATTCTTTTCTTTCGACCACTTCTTCATTGGGAACTACACTACAGCAGGGTCTCTACTGGTTCTTCGCTATTATCGCCGCTATCTTCATCTTTTCGATGGTAATCAATCTATGCCGTCGATAGCCCCTATACATACATCTTGGCTATATCATTTCTCCGGCTGCTCGTCAAGACCTTCATTTTCGGTTGTATCACCATGTACTTACGGCTAATGTCATGGCGGTCTGGCGGCAACTATCTTGATGTGTTGCCCCACATGTTTCATATGCATACCTACTTGCATCCACTTCAGCCAGATCGCCATAAAAAAAAAAAAAATCATGTATAGTTTTTAAGAATTGTATATGTCTGTTCGTTTATCTCGTGTACGTATGTGCCATTGACGAAAGATTTTGTATGTTGCAGACAGCCGATCATACTCGCATCGCCTGTTGCTGCATGCCGACTCACTCCTCATGGGCCACAATGGACTGTCAAATACACACGGCTGACCGATCTTCACGTCTCCGCTGCCTGGCCAAGGGCCCGGCCGGCAGCCGAGACGTCGAGTACCCGCCGAGTCAACCACACCGCCACTGGTACCTGACTCCATGGCGATTATCCGGCGTCGCATTCACGGGACCACATTACCCGAGTGCGGTCAAAATCGCCCTACAAGTACAATCGCCACAAAACCATGGTCCGGTACCAGTGCATCGACTCGAGACGTCCCCGTCGACTTCTGCTCGCGCACCATCCAGAGGTCCCCTCCACCAACGGCCGTCGCTGTCGACTCCAGCCAGTTGCCACCACAATCACTGGCCGCCAGCAGTCGACAGTACCGCCCGCTCCAGCCGGCCGCGCCTTCTGTCACTGTCCACTGACGGTGACCTCATCGGCGCGGCTCTGTCATGGGCCGGGATCTCGGACATCAAGATCCGGAGAACCTACACATCTCCGCGCTGCGAGCAAGTCACCCACCAGCTCGGGACGTCTACTTCTTCACTCGGTCGTGTGTTGTTCTGACGCCTCCTATTGTCGGCTCATGGGGGAGGGGAGGTAATGTCGCAAGGCTTTGTTCAAAGGACTATTGCTACAAGCGCGTATGGCCTTGTTCAGGTGCGTGCGGCCCGCTGCAGATCCGGGTTATTAATTCAACGACTGACCGGTTCTGCAGAGGTTTCCGCGTCGTTCCTCGAATAAGCTTATGCGCTTGCCGCATGACGCTCCTTATATGATCGCGCTGTGCGTGCAAGATCCTGTATAAAAGCGTGCGTGAATTATCAAATACAGAGAGTGCTCGAGACCGGCTTTGGGGACGCATCGGCACACCGAACCAAGTAAGTCGGCAATTCCACCGGCCGACACGTCCACAGACAATGGAGACGCTCCGTTTCAAGGTCGCTGCTTTCAGTTTCAACACGGCCGGATATGGTGCCGCCTAACGGGGACGTTGGAACACTCGGAGGGGATATGGAGCACCGTCTGAGAAATATGGAGCACTCCCTGAGGAGGCATTGGAACCCGTGTGATTGGAACACCATGTAACATGGTTGTGGAACCTTGTCTGATATCTGGGGAATATGTAATGTGGAATTATCTGACGGCATCAGGCATGTGTGGGCGATGTGGACCGTCTTACATGTGTTGTGGGACATTCATCAACTGAGGTCAGGGTGCAATATGTAGAGCACCGTCTGACGGGATACTGGCCATCGTTCAAGGAGGCTGCATGAGACACCGACAGTGGAATAGGGTAGGGGACACTATCTGACGAGGCATGGGGGGGGGCACTGGAAAGTGGGGATGTGGGACACTTACCGATTAACGTAATGAAGCACTGGGACACTTACCAACTAACGTAATGGAGCACTGTCTGACGAGAGATATTTAACACTTTCCGAGTTGCTGTGTACTGCCTGACACCGCACGCCACCTAACAACGGGACACACTGACAAACGAGGGATATGGGCCCTTCCTGACAGAGCGATATGGGCATCGTCTGATTCCCGACCACCCAGCTGCACTTACATCCTCCTTCAGCGCACACCGCATGGTCTGTGCCAGTTTGGCGGCGTTCTTGGCGTATTCCATCTCCAGCCCGGTCCGCTTCTCCACGTAGGTGAGCACATCCTTGGCGTATTTGGACCAGACCTTGGCGCGATGCAGGGCCACCTCGACGCCCTGGTCCAGCCTGCGGAGGGAGGGCGCGGCCTGGTGTTACAATCTGGCCCGGCGGCGGGAGACGACCCAGTCGTAAACACGCCCCGGAGGCCTCGGCATCCGTCACACCCAACATCAAAGGCCGAGCCGCCGCGCCACCGGCACACCCGGCCGACTGCCGACGGTTTTTACAGCAGCTTGATGGTTCGCTTAAGTAACCGCAAGTGATTTCCAGGTCGAAATCTTAATGAGTTACACTAGGCGCCACTTCTGGCAAAAATACACTGCCAATAAACAAAACGTGGTATGGTCCTGGGTGATTGGGCGGGCCATGGGCCACAGCTTCTGTTCAAGGAAACGAACAAAAAGACATGAAATCAATCAAAAGCCATGTTGCATTTAGAAGCCGTTTTACGAGCTTACTAACTTGCCAATTGCCATCATCCGCATGCGTCACCACATGTCCCCCATAGGTAGTCAAGACAATGCTCGATGCCCGTTACACTGCCGTAAGTGATAGAGGGTCGTCAGAGCGTAACCATCAATGGAATGGAGCTTTCATCGGTAAAAGTGTGCTGGATCAAAGCACCGACCTGCTGGGGAGGCAGGGGTCATGAGTCCTCACCGGTGCAGCGTGGCGTCCAGCTGTTGCGGCGTCAGCTGGCTGGATGCGCCGGTTTCGTCTCGCGACTCGACCGTGGCCGACTCCGTGTCCGAAGCGAGGTTCTCGCACGACTTCGCTTTGGAGGAGGATGAAGTGAGGACGGTGGACGACGAGTCCAGGTCGCCCATCAGATACTCGGACACCCTGAGAAAGACGGGGACGGGTCCATTACCAGATACTCGGTCAACATTTCTCTCGTGACTAATGACTCACGACCAATGAGTTCGGAATACCATTAGACACACATATATTCTTATACAAAAAGAGCATATGGTAGGTAATCGATTTTCGGACATTGATGTAAAAAGAGTCCGGGTCACAAAAAAAAAACTCTGAGCACTCTGCCAGTTGCCACGATATGAAGAACTCGACTCTGTCCGTTTTCTACTGTGATTAAATTAAGCACGTCCACTAGGCACATAATGAATCCAGGATATTTAATTTCATGTTAATTCCGCACTAGAAATGACTTTCTCAGAAACGACTTTCTCATTTCTAAGGGCTGAAGGAGGCAGATTTCATAAACATTGTCCCATTGCAATAAGCAGGTACTCGCAGCTGAAAGTCGGACCAATGCCGTCTTAGCTCCTAGTTAGTCGCACTCTTCATGCCCCCTGTCTGAACAATGAACAACTGAAGGTATAGCAGCTTATGCCATCAACAATAAAATATTCATATGAGAAGCATTGATCGGCCTCAGCAGAGATGGATTGAGGAAGTGGTCCCACGGGCCGCCGGGCGTTAGGCGCAAATGCGAACCGTTGGACTGGCGAGTTGGCACACCGCCCTTTCGAAAGGCAGACGGGCCTCAGTGCTTTGCGACGTATAGGTTAGGACATTAAATTTACGTGCTCGATGTGATACATAAGTGCCGCGAACTCGATACATACTTGGCGTCTTTTTTTAAGTGCAGTCTTGGCCCAACGCTGAATCGTCATCTTCTATTTTATGTCACACTTCCGCCCTCCTTGTCTTTTTTGTTTTATTTTCCCTTCCTCGCCCTCTCTCCAATCTCTCGGGAGAGGCTGATATCGGCCGTCGCCACTGATGGCTGCAATGGGCTGCTACACTCTGGCAGATATTACTCTGTGCATGTTCGCTCTTATCGATGCGGCACATACATGACTGGTCGCGATTATCGCCCACCAGGCCGCGTCGGCGGAACGTCGTTCCCGACGACTCGATGCCTGTCCGCCGCGAGCTCGGCGCCGCGCGAGACGAGCCAGTCTCTACGGTGATACCAGAGCCCAGACCATGCTGTGATCCGGCAGCAGCCGCTCTGCCCCGAACCGCTCCATTGGTCTCCATGACAACATATGATGCAACGTGATCGATGTTGAAGAAAACAAAATGTCTACGGGCTGATAGTCTCCTGAAAATGCAAAGGCTGGTGCCCTTCGATACCCGAGCACGAGTTACGGACCCATCCATGGATGCTGTTTATTGTTGAATTTCGAAGTATGAACAATGCACGAATCCTCGGACGGGGAAAGGTTGAAAGTTGAAACAGAATCGGTAAACTTACCGGCTACTGAAGGCCAGGGCTAGCTGGTCGATGGACTCGAAGAATTCCGTGGGGTCCGCGCGCTCATCTTCGTACCCGTGCTCTGTGGGAGCACAGAAACAAACCAAGTTACGACGGAGAACGACAAAACGACGGTGAGAGCAAATTAGATAAGCATGCTATCCGCTGTCAAAATAATGTAAGAAATAAAACTAGAAAATCATTCAATATGGGTTGGAACAGATATGGATGACAGCAAATACAAATGATGTGCAGTCCCTTCGGTCCACACCATCGAACATCGTTCAAATCGAACAACACTGTCCCAAGACAAATATGACGCGGCAGACAAAGGGAGTGGCGCTGCCCTCGATGGACGGCATGCCATCGGTCGCCGGAGAGCCTCGTGATTGCCATCGTATGATTGCCACCTCCGGCGGCGGCGGCGCCTCTGGCTCCCGACCTCCGACCCATGTAATCAATCAGAGGCGCTCTGCAGGGACGGCCGGCGTGCCCCGCGGCCGCGCTCACCCCCATATATCGGACGGGCACCGGCACCGGCAGGCCGCCCGACATGGGGCGTGGCCGTGAGCGGTGGAGGAGGGGCGAGCACGGTGCTCATGAGCCCGAGCACCGTGCTCTTGATCTTGAGCACAGTGCCTCCAGCTCGAGAAGGTTTTGGTAGCCACTGTTACGGCTTCCATATTCTGAGCGTGGTGCTCCCAGCCGGTAGCAACAGTGGCGGATCCAGGGGGGGGGGGGCAAAATGGGCATTTGCCCCCCCCCCCCCCAAACGGCATGATTTTAACATTACGCCTATGGACGATGCATGGAAAGAATCGATAAATTTTTATGGTTTGCCCCCCCCCCCAAACCTCTGAGCTGGATCCGCCTCTGGGTAGCAATCACTTATCCTAGCATGGTAATCCCAAACCCGAGTGCAAGGTTCTATGTTCCAGCCAGAGCTCTCAATCGGAAAGCCCAACGCTTTTATCCGTGCCAGCACGAAACGAAGGGAGAACGATTTTGTGTTGACGTTGGTAAAACACGATTTTTCAATAATTTGTTCAATGCAGCTCTTTCGTCGCCAGACTTCAATAGTAACAATTGAATGAACTAGAAATGGCGAGACATTTTCATGTGCCGCAAATCACAAGTGAATTTAATTGCCTCTGCGATAATCAACTTAACCAGTCGGGCAGCCGACACTAAGAGCGCCCAAAAGGCGGCCACCGCACTTATCGACTCAAGCGTGAAACAGGTCATGTCTAGAATTAGACGACCTCATGGACATCACTAAATCAGGCAGACCAACAGAAAGCCGAACCAGTGGGAGAGGCACCTTGGAAATGCAGTGCTAGAAACGTTCAAACAGGCGTCGATTATACAGTTGTGAATTTTAGAGTTGTGGAGTGGACAGAACAGAGCACATATCATGACAAATATCTGTCAATTGGGTAAACACGAGTCTCAACAGCTCGTGGGCGACAAGCGGTAGAAAAGATGGAAATCGTGTGGTCACAGAGTCACTAACCTGACTCTACGCCAAGGTCTTCTAGGTCATAAAACAAACAACTTTATAATGACTATCCACATTGTTAGTTCGCCATTTTGTCTCTTTGTCTTCCACCAATCTAACTAGCGGCATGTCAGGGCCGGAGCGGCGTGTGATGTCCTTCACAATTCCGACCAAACATAGTCGCCCACTCCGCCGGACGCTTCCCTTCCCCCTACGGGCAGATGACCTTCTAGATCTTCGTTCCGATTACGGCTCGGACTGGCCTCTAGGTCCGGTTGGCTCCAGCCTAACAGACCAGGGCCTCTGGATACAGAAGTTGCCGGATGTACCAGCAACCCTCCTCTCTTTAGCCACGCCTCCATGCTGGAGTTGGCAAGGCGATTTTGGACAAAATATAACGGAAGCCCAAAAGCAAGTGATGATCGCTGTGTTCGGGTCCAAACAACAAACTGTTCACTTATTTTGTCTACAAGGACGTTAAGTACGCATAGGTATGTAAATAACCCTCATGTAGTCCGCCGCCCCGCTGCCTGCGCCAATTCCGGCGACATTGGCCCAATTCTCACGACGTTGAGTCGTTTCCCAGTGGTCAAGTTATCAAGTTCACAGTCTGGGAACTCACTATTTGCTGATTATGTGACCGGCTGTGTTCCGTCTATATAGGAAAATTGGAGCACCGTCATTTCAAGAAATGCGGACATCAAAAAGCTACCAGTGACTGCCAGCCACTGGAACACAAAATCACTTGAAATATTCTGTCCCAGATCAAGGACAATACTGAAAGAAATGGCTAAATAACCTTTCATATGTCATTGGTAATCAATTACATAATATGTTCTTAAAACTAAAATGCAATTAATGTCAAGTATGTATATTTCGGTGAAATGGCGTTAAAAAATTGTATGTTCTGTAGCGAAAAAATTCCCGGTTGATCGCTGTTATTCCCAATCACACCTCAGACCAGACTGCATCGGTCTGTGTTGATTGGACCACAAATTGGTCCCGGCTTTAATTGACAGCAAACAGTGTTCCAATAGGTGACACGCCAAACGTTACCCCTCGCTAATAGTTCACCAGCCAAACGGCTGTGTCTCCCAATCACTTGTAACCTGTCCAAAGGTTTGCTTCTGCTCGACATTTAACCTGCCCAAAGGTTCACGCCCGCTCGACATTGAAATGAACATTCCCAAAGGATCGCAATCGCACTTACGTTTGACCCGCCCAGAGGTTCACCCCCACTTACGTTTGACCTGCTGGATGAGAGCGCCGGCAGCCATGAAGAGCTCGGTGCTCTGCAGAGGTGCGTACCGCTCAAGCACCGTGCGCAGGATTCGTAGCACCTCGCCGAGCCGCTCGTGGGCCGCCACGCGCAGCGTTTCCTGCTTATCTGTCGGTGAAACGTAAAGGGAGTACACGGTTACCTGATGGGAAGACAGTGAAATCTTGGGTCATCAGGTTTGTGGTCACAGCAAACGACCTATAGATTGTGAAAAAATATGTACCGAAAACTTGTACACAGGTTACAGCTACGTTCGATATTATATCGTGTGCTGGTGGTGGTGGATGCATTCCATTGATCATGTTAATTTTTAACTAAATTTAAGTCTCTCTATTACAAACGCTTCCTACTCTGCGCTATTAGTCATCACCGGCCGCCTCAGCCTCCCCAAGGCCGCCAGTGCTGTGGGTCACCGAGGAATCGTTCCAGTGAACCACTGCCTCCAGCCGAGGCGGTGGGGTCGGCCGCTCGAGTGACCTATGGAGGAATCTCGGAGACCGGCGTTAATTAACCAGGCGCGCTCGGTCAGCGCAATTAGCTGGCCACATACTGCCCCGGGCGGTGGTAATTGGACCACAGATTGTCCCCGCCTCCAGCTGACAGAGCTCAGTGCTCCGCGGCAGCCGGCGCGCGGCGGAACACAGCAGCAACTGGAGCTCCGCTGGAGAGGGTGTTTGATACGGCAATATGGGCAATGACATGCATGTGCTTTAGCCTATATGCATGGACAATCGTTAGTTTTCTAGCACTGCATTCGCCTGACATGTAAAACTGTAGACGTAGGCATGGTCCGTCATTGTACTTTTCAGACAACGGTGCTTCTGGCATTTAATACAACAGCTGATCTGACGGTTCAAAATGAATTTGAGACAGATAAGATACTCTACAATAAACATATTTCAATAAAATGTATTTGCAACCTTGGCAGCTGGGTGCATTTTTTGACCAAAGACAATCATACTTGGGATCTTGGTATCAGTGTGGGCACTTTTCCTCGATGAACCGATCGATGATCAATGGAACATCATTTGTATAACATTGAAAGTCCAGGCATACCTATAGGCATGTGATACATATGTAGGTGTGGCATGCTGTTTGTTGCCTCGACTCGATAACAATGCAAGTGTTCAGAGAGACGGACATGGTTCACGCCTGAACACCCATCTGTCGAGATGTCGCCAATTTGCGTCGAGCAGAGCATTACATAAGTGCAGCGCGTGTAGGCGCCTCCGTCGGCCGTCGCTGCGGGAGTACCGGGCCGCGAGCGTCGGCGGCAGGCCGGATCTATAGGAGGAACTGCGCGCGGCATTGAACCGACTCCGAGCGGCTGTCGGAGCCGACGGGCGGGCGTCGAGCGTGCTAATCAGACCGGCTGATCGGATCGGTTTGGAGTGTTTGGTATCCGCCGCAGACACAGACCTCTCGGGAGGGGCAAGGTTGGAGATTGGAGAGACGTTCGAATTGACCGAAAACAAGACGACCGACATCTCAACTAGGACGTTTACTGGTTTGAGTTTACATGAACCAGCAAGACGAACTGACGAACGGTCAGGCGGATCAGTAAAACGAACTAAAAGTAACAGCTTGCAGCAGAGACCAATACTAGAGATAGTGGCGAGAACGATTGGCGATCAGCAAAGACCGAACCTCAAAAGTTGTCTGTCACAGCTGAGATCGAGCTTCTAAAGTTGTCTGTCACAGTGGAGACAGTGCCGCTAAAGTTGTCGGCCTCAGCGGATGCTCGCATTAAACGGAGGTTATAACTGACGTCCTGTGCTACATAGGATCTTTTACCCTCAAAATACGATATCAAGCAAACCTTTTGCCGTTTTCTTTAAATCAAAATTGTGTGTTATACCCAATATCGCCCTTGTTTGTAAAAACTGAGTAGTAAGACGGTTGAAACCCAAAATAAGCCGATTTTCTTCGGATATTTATCGCCCCAGCGAGTTCGTTCTAACTTGCTTGGATGATCATAAGCCTTCTTAATTTCTCAGAGCGTTAAATGTGGATAACCGAATCAGAACATTTCAATCAACGATGAATTAAACTGGATGTTCTCTATAGTTCGGCAGTTCAGCACAGAAGCTTTGTCATTGGTTTTGCTTTCTGTCCGATGAAGAAAACTTGTCCTGAAGACTGATATATGTCCTGAAGACTGATTTTAGTTACCTAGCAGAAGACTGCCAATTTTTTCTTCACTGTGTTAGGCAGGCAATTAATGTTGGTACTTACAGACCAAAGGCGGTCTTATGCCAGAACCAGCCAGGGTGACTAGTGATCGAAGTTGATCTCGTCTGGTTAAATTTAACACAAAAATCTAAAAACGGTATCATTATCCAAAATAAGCGAATAGTCACTAGCATTGCCTGGTGCGGTTGAAGGATATTCAATTCATATGTGATTATTTTGCCTTGATGTAATAAGAACTCTTTTGTTGTTGCTACGTCATATTTAACCCTCGCCCGCACATGCGGGGGGGGGATGGTTGCCCCCCCCCCCCCCAGGTAGTCTTTCGGCTCTGCACTCGACATTTTCAGAGCTAGAAGGCTGATTTGTCGTATAGCTGCTCCTATATCCTTTCTTGATGTCCACTGAAAATTTCAAATTTCTGTGATTTTTTGTTTCGGAGATATGACCTTGTTTTTCAGGTCATGTCATGACCCAAATGGCCAATTCTCAACATCTTACGTTTGCTATGGGCCTTGTGAGCCTTTGACACCTTGATTTCGGCCTTTTTTGCCAGTCTTACCTCCCACCTATCATGGAACATGTTGTTCGACGATGTACAGGTGTCAAGGTCAGGGTCAAGATCAACCTCGGTCATCTAAGATAATTGCGTTTTAGGCAAGCTGAATTTACTTTTTGTGAAGTTTTTTGACTGCATTTTTGGTAAAAGCTTCTCAGATCATGATTTCATGTAAAATGGACACATAAACAATCGGTGCACACATCAGTATACACACAGACACACACAGACATACAAACACATATAATTGACCTTGACCTAACTTGACCTGAAATGACCTCAGCAGCAAAAATCTGGTCGGGTAGTGTGACAAAGAGGTTCTAGCTGGCTTGGCACCAGAAAACGGCATCGTCATCGGTATATGCTAAGCAGCGCACTTGATATCCAACGGTGACCCAAAACAGCAACATTTTTTAGTTTGACCTGACCTGGAAGGTCAATGACTGACCTCAGAAGGTAAAACTGGGTATCATTGGATTCGTCTCTTCCCAAAGAATCTTTTTGGTGTTTACCGCTAAGCTCTATCTCCAACAGGAACGAAATGGCGCGGGGGGGGGGGTGGCAACCCCCCCCCCCCCATGTGCGTTCTAGGATGGGAAAATGGCATGTGCGGGCGAGGGTTAATAGTTTTAACCATTATAAATGACACAGATAACAGTAGCACTACCGTTATCTGTGTAAATGATAATCTAACTACTTAGAGAAGTATCACTCCTCGTTGGTTCAAATGAGCCTCGTGTGATTTGTTCAACATTCCTGTTAGTTGGAAGCGCAATGGAACATAGGGTAGGTGGGGCATTCCACGATAGATCGTACCAGGCCCGTCGCCCTCATCCCTCAGATTTTAAATGAAAATCCGTCCTAGGGGTAATCATAGGCCCCAAAGCGGTGGGGAGGGGGCGAGGGAGGGGGCAAAATATCAGACTTCTCAGATCAAAACTTTTTGAGTTATATTGCATTACATTTTTTTAACTTCGGTTTGTAACGGTGAGTTTGATGGCCTATAACTCAAGAACGGGTCAAGCTACCAACAAACAGTAAACAACACTAAGTTTGCGATGAATCAAAAATTAATATTACCATTTAAAAATTCCAAACAAAATTTTTCATTGTTGAGCAAAAACCTTAATCTTTTTTCATTTGCCTCTAATGACCTTTGGGACCAAAATTTTTCAAATTTTTATTTTTTCAAAATAAACTTCATGTCATTGCAAATCGACATGCAAAAAATTAGAAAGGAGCTCTTTCTATAAAATCCTCATTTTCCCGCAAACAAAATGGGTTTCGGAGGGGTTGATACGACCCCAGCACGCCGTTTCGCTTCTAATAGAGCTAGAGCCTAGCGGAAAAAACGAGCGTGTGTGCCGCAACAAGTCGCAGCGATTGGTACCCGATTTTAAGGTCTCAATTTAACCGGTAGCGTCTGAGGTCAGGTCAAGTGACTGAAGTTACGGGTTCGGTTTTTAGTAAATAACTTCGCAAAAAAATGGCCGCAGAGCCGCGATTTTGGCATCATTGTGTTCGCCTTGCTCAGGTGCATCGAATGGTATACTTTTTGCTAGGGTGAGGTCAACTTAAGCAGTTGACCTCGGATCAAGGTCAGGTCAGAGCCCCTCAGGTCACGAAGCTGGGCAAAGGGTATCATATGGCATATCATTCGATTCGGAAGGTCTTCCCGAGTCCATTGGTGGCTTTCCCGACTCTCTAGCTCCATTTGATCGGGAGTTATTGACGAAAAACTCGTACGACCCTAGTGACGTCATAAATGACGTCGCGCAAGGTTACCAATGCAAAAGAAAAGCATTGGACTTTGCAAGAAGTGCATGAAATCACGATACCATGTACGTGGGATAGTTTTAGATCATTCTCGGCGCCAAAATAACAGTTTTTATATTTCCCCATTGACTTATAACAGTGATGTCACATGACCGACCTGACCTCACGTAACCTTAAAAATTCCCAGATATACAAGCTGTGAGACCTCTGGAGGACACCATGTATGAGTCCTGTAACTTTCATCTCGGACAGTTATGGTCGTTGGCGTCCAAAACAATGTCAGAATCAAACAGCCTTTTTCACCCTCGCGCTTATAGGAAAGAGGGTTGGATGAACCCTCTTTTCACTTTTTCAGATGACTCAGACTTCAATTGAAATTTCAGTAACCCGTGATGTCACTAGGCAGCTTTACCACGCCATTTGTAAGCTTTCCTCCCGAAATCACTATTCGAAACCGTTATCGTGACGTAAAATAAATACATTTATAGAAAGAACACCTTCCTAATTTTTTGCATACTTGTTACCTAACAATGAGCCAAATATGTTTTTAAAGAAATAAAAATTCAAAAAAATTTGGTCCCAA